GGCTTGTTAACACAAGATGAGTTATCCCCACTCACATTCATCACAGGAGATGGGGAGGACGCCCGGTGCTCTGGAAAGTCGTGGGACGGAGATTCATCATCTTAGGATTCTGACTCGGAACCAGATTTTTCAGATCCCACCAAACAGGCTTTATCTAAACCAAAATAAAAGTCATGGTGGTCAGAACACCAGCCCACATGACAGCAACCACTGTTTATTCACTGCTTGATGTAACATACGGTGATGACCATGGTGTCCACTTCATACCGAGATGAGTGAGGACCCGAGACAGGGGCTTCTCAAGGTGAGCCTTGCAGTTGGCGCCAAAATCTGGACTACTTTAGAAATTATCTTTTTTTTTTTTTAAATAGTTTATTTATTTTTATTTTATGTGCATTTGTGTTTTGTCTGCATGTATGTCTGTGTGAGGGTGTCAGATCCCCAGGAGTTGGAGTTACAGACAGTTGGGAGCTGCCTTGTGGCTGCTGGGAATTGAACCTGGGTCCTTTGGGAGAGTGGCCAGTGCTCTTAACCACTGAACCATTTCTGCAGCCCCCTAGAAATTATCTTATTTTCTTCCTCCTCTTTATCCTTTTTGAAAATTAGTGTACTGGCTGGTTCTGTACATCAACTTGACACAAGCTAGAGTCATCAGAGAGGAAGGAGCATCAGTTGAGGAAATGCCTCCATGAGTCCCAGCTGTAAGGCATTTTCTCAATTAGTGATCAGTGCGGGAGGGCCCAGTCCATTGTGGGTGGTGCCATCCCTGGGCTGGTGGTCCTGGGTTCTATAAGGAAGCAGGCTGAGCAAGCCATGGGGAGTAAGTCAGTAAGCAGCTCCCCTCTATGGCCTCTGCATCAGCCTCTGTCTCCAGGTTCCTGCTCTGCTTGAGTTCCTGTCCTGACTTCCTCTAATGATGGACTACAATGTGGAAGTGTAAGCCAAATAAACCCTTTTCTCCCCAAATTGCTTTTTAGTCATTGTGTTTCATCACAGCAATAGAAACCTTAGCTAAGATAATTAGCCATTACTATTTTTAGACAGGATCTCATTATGTGGTCTTAGTTGACCTAGAACTCTCTATGTAGACCAGGCTGGCATTGAACTCACAAAGTTTGACTGTTTGTCTCTGCTTTTCAGAGTGCTGGGATTAAAAATGTGTGCCACTTTGCCTGGCTAGTACATCTTTTTTTTCTCTCCCTTCCTCCCTCCCTCCCTCCCCCCTCCCCCCCTTTCTTCTTGAGACAGGGTCTCTCACTGAGCTCATCAATTACTGGACTGGCTGGCCAGTGAGCCCCGGGATGCTCCAGTCTCCACTTCCCCTGCGACATTTAGGCAGGTTGTGGGGCTTGAACTCAGGTCCATGTTACCCTTGCCTATCAAGCACCTCCAGGGCTGAGCTATGTCCCCAGACATCCAGGTATTTGTCATAGCCACAGAAAGTTACTATTCTTTTATACTTTTACAAGTTATAGTCTGAGAGTTTCCAATACATTGGGTGAAAAATCCACTGAGGTTACAGAATCTCAGCGCTGCCCCTTAATTACCGTCCTCATTAACAGCAACCAACTTTTTTGTTTTTTAACAGGTAGGAACACTGAGAGCCAGTAGTCTTGGCTGGCACAGACCTAGCCCGGTGTCCCTCACCCTGGGGTGTCCTCCCCCCCAGTCCTCTCCCTGAAGATAGGCGGCAAGGGAATGACTACTGAGCAAAAACTACATTCCAAAGGTCACGGTGTCTTTTCTGGAGAGCCGGCTGGCGAGACTGGAGCAGTCAGGACTATTACTCAGTCAGATAGGCCGTGGCGCCTTGGCTCGGGTCCCTGCTGAGCCTGGATTCTGCTCCTGGAATCAATTTTTTTTTTTTCTTTTCCCGAGACAGGGTTCTCTGCGTAGTTTTGGTGCCTGTCCTGATCTTGCCCTGTAGACCAGCCTGGCCTCGAACTCACAGAGATCTGCCTGGCTCTGCCCCCAGAGTGAGTGCTGATTTAAAGGTGCGCGCCGCCGCCACCGCCGCCGCTGCCGCCTCTGCCCTCCTGGCTCCTGGATTTAATTCTGTGGCTACTGCCTTAGGCTATGCCACTGTGAGGAGGACCCGAATAGACGGTCACTGCAGCCTCCGAACCACACAACTTCCTCGGCTTCCGTTTTCTTCAATCCCACTCCTGACCTGCTCTTAATCCCCCATGCGTGTGTGCCTGTGCATGTGCGTGCTCACACACGTGCACAGGAAATGCTGTCAGCCCAAAGAGAGGATATTTGTGCACGGGAGATGGTCCCCATGGTAGCCAAAACATTCAGATCTCTTGGTGCCTTTGGGGAGACCCTCAGCTCCGGACTCCCCTAGCACTGACCAGACCCAGGGAGAAAAGGAGTCTCAGGGAAGGAAGGGCCTTTCCTGGAACACTTGTAGCCAGGACCAGCTTCTTGGCAGCAGGAAGGACCTCAGAGTCAGAAGAGGGACTCACATGTGCCTGGTATACTTTGACATGCTCAGGAGCACAGAAGGGCTAAAGCACACCCCTGCCTCGACCCTGTGGGTTTGCTGAGGGACTGGGTGAGTCCTGCAAAGGCCCGAGCCTCAGGCTCCTTTTCACATGTGCCCAACAGGTAACATTCCCTTCCTCCTGTGATGCTAGAGACCACTGGCTCCTAAAACCTGGCTGGCCTCCCTACCCTGGCCCTGCTGACACTCAGTGGTTGCTGGGCATGTGTCTTCATTGGCATGGAACATTCCAGGCTCCCATGTGGTCTGTTGTGGTCTCAAAAAAATAAAAAATAAAAAAATCCCCAGCACAAAGTAACAGCATCTTAGCCCATCTTCTAGCAAAGACCCCAAGACCCATGCAGATTTTTAAATTTAAATTTTGTATTTTTAATTCTGTGTATGTGTGTGTGGGTTTGTGTACCCGAGTGGGTGTAGCTGTTGAGGCCTGAGGCATCAGAGCCCCCTGGAATTGTAGGCAGTTGTGAGCTGCCTGATGTGGGTGCTGGGGATCGAATTTGGGTCCTCTGCAAGGAGAGTGCATGCTCTTAACGGTGGATCCTTTCCCCAAACCCCACTGCAGATTTTATTTTTATTAAATATCACCACACAGAGTTTGTAACTCCAGACGTCAGACCAGGGACATAGGTCTGAGATATTCTTTTTTGCGGGGAGGAGGGAGAGACAGGGTTTCTCTATGTAGCCCTGGCTGTCCTGGAATACACTGATATCCTTGAACTCAGAGAGATCCACCTGCCTCTGCCTCCTGAGTGCTGGGATTAAAAATGCGTGACTCAATGCCCAGTATAATGTGGTTTTTTTAAAAAAATTATTGCATGTTTTAAGATCCTTGTGGGAGTGGGCACAGAATATGCGGAGGTCAGAAGACAACCTTTGAGAGTCTGTTCCCCCAGTCCACCATGTGGGTCCCAGGAATCAAACTCATTAGGCTTGGCAGCAAGAGCCTCTATCCACTGAGCCATCCCAGGAGCCCCCACAGGGTGTGGGATCTGCACTGGTGCATTTAAAATCCTACAGAAGAGCCTGCACGGCACGGAGCAACCTCCCTTAGGGTGGTGGCAGGGCCGTGACAGTCCGGGGCTCTCTCGGGTCTTGTGTTATTAAGCATATTTTCAAAGACAGAGGAAGTGCAGGCTGACAACTGTTGAAATCCAATATTTTCCATACAAATGAATTTCACTCTTCTGAGAAATCATTTTATCTTCCAAAATCCCGGCTCAGCATCACTGCTTGTTCACTTGGGGAGCATTCACTTCCCCCAGAATAAACCCAGCAGCCAGCGTGGAAAAGCCCGCTTTTACATCTGGGGAAGATGCGCTGCTCCACGAGACCCTTTGCCGCTTTAAAACTCAGAGCTCACCAAAGACTCTGACTGCCCACCCCCACATCCAGGCCAAGTGGGGACGAGGCGAGGCATTGAATTACCAGCCTGTCACTGACACCACGGGTCTCTCTTTCCTTTGAACAGGAGCTGGGCTTAAGAAGAAAGTTTTTCTTAATAAGTAGCTGCTCCCCTTTGATATGCACATCTGGATACGAGGTCTTATCTGCAGCCAGCTAAGGCTGCTTCCTGAGGGTAAATGATAAAAGAACAACTCAAAATAACAAAAAAGGAATAAAATGTGCCAGATGCCTCAGAAAGCAGGACAATGTGAAAGAAAGCAACTATTGACAATTGAAGCAATCATTTTAGAGGCTCACTGACTCACGATTTTTTTTTAAGGGATTAGGAAGGATCGGCTGACAGGCGCTGCCGTATTCTGTTGGAAATTAAGGGGGGAATAACGCCGAGAATGCTATCAATCACTTGGGGGTTAATTTTGCTTCTGTCCTGGTCTGGTTCTGCAGCTTAAAAAAAAAAAAGAAAGAAAGAAAAAAAAAGAAAAACTTCCCTTTTTCTCTGTCGCCCTCTGTTTAAGCACAGTTAACTCTGAGGCCCCGACTCAAAGATTCTGATTCACAAATTCTCTCAGGAATGACAAAAGGGTTTCACACTGACCGAAAGCACCAGGAAACGTGACCCTCGGGTAGACCCACCTTCCCACCGTCTGTCCCGTTGAGTTTTAAAGCATACGTTTTTCTTTATTCTGATTCCTTCCGTATCAGATATGTTTTTTTTTTCCTTTTGATTTCTTTCTCACCTTTGTTAGAAAATATTCTCATGGAAACGTTATGATTCTTCTCAGTTTGGGGACTTTTCCAGGGAGCTTCTGTCCCCTCCTTAATGTGGACTGGTGTGATGTTTTCGGGGTTAGGGCGGAAGGGCAGAACTGGCTTAGGTGATGCCCAAATATGATTTCTCCAGGCTCGCTCGCTCGCCTTTGTTCTTTACAAAGGAAGCAAGTCCAGCTTGCTTGGTAAACACGTGCTGGGGACTTGAGTAATTCTGTGGCCGATTGTAACTGATATGTTAATAGGCAAGCGAAACTTGGGCTTTACATACATTGCTCCTTAAAGGGGAAACTGAGGATGGTGTGGGGGAGGGAGCGGCAGGGCAGGCTGGGTCCCCTGCACCTTCCTTCGCCTACCCAGGTCCCCGCCGCCCGCATTGATTCCACATTAACATGCAGCAGGCATGGGAAAATGATAAACTCCTACACCACTGTCATGGCAACTGAAAAAATGGCCGCTTTAGAGGGGTGCGGGGAACGAGGGCCACGGGGAAAGAAAAGCCAAGGCCTGTCTCTTTTCTTCCGGTCTGACATCTGTCGTTTAACATACAAAATTGTATTATCGCGATGAAGGCGCGCTGCCCGGCTGGAGCCTCGCCCGGGAATGAAGGGAGTTCGGCTCCGAAGGAAGAGTGAACGAGCCCTCCGACATTCCCACCTAGAGCTGACGTTCCCCCACCTCTCAGCATTCCAGGTAGGAAAGCTTGGCCCTCCCGGGGAAGGTGGGTGGAGGGAGGAGGGAGGGGGAGAGGCCTGTAAAGCACACATCAGTTCTTGCCAATTATCTTCATTGCTCCCCCCCCCACTTCTTTTAAACGTATTTTGGATTTTTCTGAAGTACCAGTGGAGAGGGCTTGTGATCACGGACACAGCAGACGTCGAGGTACGGTTTGCAAACTTGGGTGGGGCCCAAGGTTTAAAACGGTTATTGCTGGCCACTGAAAAGGGCGGGAAGGGCTTGCCCCTCCCCCACGGGTCCCAGGACCTTGCTCACATGAGGGATTCCAGCCCAAGAAGTGCTTTTACTTCCTTCCTTCCGTGGCTCCTTCCCGCATTTTTATAAAGCGATCGCTCGCTCACATAGCAATGAAGTGTTTTGAATGGGACCGTAGACACTGATGTTTAGGACTCCCCACACTGACGTGAAACTTCCATATCGCCCAAAACGTGGTACCTGGGGGGCATTTTTGTCTTGCATATATATGATTTTTTTTTCTTAACATTAAGTGACTTGGGCTGGCCAGATGGCTCAGTGGGTAAAGGTGCTTGCTGCCTAGGCTGATGACCTGAGTTCGATTCCAGGAACCCACTCACAGTGGACGAAGAGAACCAACTTCAAAAAGTCGTCCTCCTCCGGCCTCCACGTGTGCTCGCACACACAGTCTCTAGATATGTATGTTGTTTTTTAATGGAATTTTAAATGCAGCAACCTTCAATCACCCTTCATGGCTCACACGAGTAAAGAGCTCACAGCAGGGGCTCCACACCAGCTGTGGAAGATTGCTACCATCCCCACACCCCATCCCCACGCCACCAAACGGAGGCTTTCCAGAAAGGCTGAGATTAAACCCCTCGATAGGGAAGGATCAGATAAGTCCAAACAAAGACCATTTATATAATTGCCTTCAGTCATCAGCAAAGTTAGCATTTTAAGGTGGGGAAGCAGAAAAACAAAACCAAACCCAGCTTAGAATCACCAGTTATCAACCTCAAGTTCTGTAATAATGGGGTCCTGACCAGCACAGGCCTGGGAGGGAACAGAAGCCTAAGGAATGAGCAAGGTCCGAGTGGAATTGTTTGTTTTTCCAAACTGTAAAGTCACAAGAAGCCACCAGGGTAAAGCCACAGATAATGTATCCTGGAGCTGCAGGGTGTCTCCGATGATAGGTTGGAGCCTTGGCGGAGAGATTCACCTGGGGTGAGGGAAGGAGACCTGAGGACGTTAGAGGCTCAGGCCCAGCCAGGAGGGACTGCTGGTTTCCTGGTGTGAAACTGGCCTGGCTCCTGGCCCTCGGATGGCTTTGCAGGGAGCGGTGTTAGCCAGCCCGTGACATCTGGGCTAGCCTGGGCGGGGGGGGGGGGGGTGTATTTTTTGCTCCTGTTTTTTTGTTTTCAGCTTCTTGGTTTCATCAGCAAAGCTTTTGTCCGAGGGGCCTGGAGTTTGACATTTGCAATTCTAGATTTTTTTCATTCTGCCAGGCTTCCGGAAAGGCAGCCCGCTGGCCTTTTTTTTTTTTTTTTTTTTTTAACATATTCATATTTCTTGCATATCAACTGAGGCAAATACAACCTCCCTGGACTCTCCAGGGAGTGGGGTGAGGGGCTTCTGTGAGACCTGAAAGGCACATCTTTGTGGGTGGGGAGCCAAGTTCTCCCAGGAACCTTTCTTATGCAAATCTCCTCTTGCCCCCCCTCCCAGTCTCCACGGGTTTCTGGGGACCTGAACATGTTCCCCAACACAATCCCCCAATCAAATGGATCCTATTTTATCCAGTAGTGTGTGAGAGTCACCCAGCGAGGTCACAAAACTTGGCTTGCCTTCAGATTTTCCTGCTCAAGCTCCCAAAATCGAGAAACCAGAAAAGTTTCTCAACAGAAAAAAGGAGCCCGTGGAAGTCCGTGTGGTTCTAAAATCACCAAAATCGCTGATAACATTTAAGGCAGCTTCCGATTCGACCCGCAGCCGGGTCATATCGCTGTGAGGGTCGCCCCCTCAGAGCCACCATTGGCAGCAGATTTACTTCTGAGCTCTGCCTGGGCCTCTCACCTGACTCCAGCTCTCTCTGAGGGTAAGGCCAAGACCAAAAGGCTGAGTGTAGGAATTGAACTGAAAATTCGGTGGGTAGAGACGCTTGCCGTCAGGCTTGGACCTGAGTTGGGATGGTGGGAAGAGAGAGCCACGTCCTGCCAATTGTCCACTCAGGAAACTGGTGACTAGTGACAGGAGCTGAACCGTGTCTGCTCCAAATCCACAACGTGACTGTTACTGGAAGGCAGAAGCTTTGAGGAGAAAACTAAGGTTAAACCGATTAACCAGCGCTGGGGAGCTGGCTCCGAGGAATCGAATTTGGGTCCCATCACCCTTGTTGGCCAGTTTACATCGCCCTCTTCTGGTATTGCGTGCACGTGTGTGGTGTACATACAGACACATGTAAAAAATAAACATAAAATTTAAAAATTAGTTGCTTTTCTCACCACTGTCATGAAAATAACTGACAGTTATCCATAGAGGAGGTGGAGGATTCATTTTGGTCCAGGGTTTCGGAGGGCCCCAGGTCACCGTGGTGCACGCATTCAAACAAATACATGAATACACCACCAAGTGGGACATCCCCTGAAGAATGATAACCAAGGATAATCGGACCCTCTCTGTCTCCCCCCCACACACACACACGTGCTGTGCTCCCACAAGCACAAATAAGCAAATAAAGTCAAAGGCAGGTCTACATCCTTTCCTGTTGGGGGATCCGGGATAGGGTAGCACCCTGCTCATCCCTCTATTGGCCTGTTCTCAGATGTGAGTACCAACAAGCGGACTAAATTTTGCACTCCATGCCACTATTTATTTCACGACATGAGAACCTCAAGGTCACCAAAAGGTGGCATTGGAAGGTCACCAATGCCACTGGAAACCCAGCCCTCCCCATCCTGGTCCCAGCATCCTTGTCCAGTGCTCACGGTCACAGGATGGCTGCCCACAAAGCAGGCACTCTGTGGCCACTTTGGGAAAGAGCACTGTCAGCTCCTCAGGCCCACAAGCAGTGGAGAAGCAGGGGTGGAAACCAGACATCTCTGCCTTCATTTGGCATCCTAACCCAGCAGTCCCCTCAGACTTCTGGAAGAGCAAAATCTAGGACAGTTTGCCCCCTAAATGAGAATAATTACCCTATAGGGTGAGGCTACCCCCTGGAGCAGAAGCCTGATCTCTCCCCTCAAGGGCATGACGGGGAAGGACTGCTGGGGACCACCTCACGGGACCAGTGCTGAGACAGCGATCAGTCACCAGTCACCCCATGAAGGCTTCACTGCATATCCTCACCCCTTCCTCCCATTTCCAAATTTAAGCATCAAGGTCATTTAGCGGCCCTGAGGATGGACTTGGGGGCCCCTGGATCCCTTCGTCTTAATGTTATCACACTGAATAAATCTCTCTCTGCCTTTCACCAAGACCTATTTCTTCCATGGTTGTATCGGGGTACAGGTGAGCCAGCCTAGCCTTTGGGGCTGCCAGAACTCAGGCTTGTACCCTAAAGATGCTCCTAGCGCCCCACAATAATGTCCAAAACAGAAGAAGGAAATCTGTCTTGAACATCTGTCTTTTCCGTGGGGGGAGGAAAAAGCCTTCAGAGAGTGTCTTTTTTTTTTTTAAAGATGTATTTATTTTATGTGTATGAATGTTTTGTTTGCTTGTGTACCATATGCATTCTTGATATTCTTGGAGTTTAAAAGAAGACCTGAGGTTCTTTGGAACTGGAGTTTTAAGGGTTGTGAGACACCATGTGGGTGCTGGAATTTGAACCTGTGTTCTCTGCAAGAGCAAAGAGTGCTCTAAACCTCCAGGTCACCTCCCCAGCCCTGAAGGCTCTTAGGAGGCTCCCCTTTTGTGTTTGTGGTCACAATTGGGTTGCACGCTTTCTTCCAGAACAATCTCTGGCAGAGGGTTCTAGGATCTGCGGGTGGCGATGGGCTCTTACGCGTTTCCGAATTTGAGTAGAGGGCTGAAAACAGGAGCGGCGGTTGTAGGAGGACAAGGGCATTAGCCACAGGGTGCTTTCAGGCACCCTTCCCTGGGGAAGCTGAGTGACTTCAGGTCACTTCCAAGTCCCCAGACCTGCTGCTGCGCAGCCCACCTGCTCACATTCCAGGCCTGAAACACCAGGCTGATGCATGAGGTGCTCCGCTGGAAGGTGGGGGTCTCCCAGTGCGGCAACACTCCCGGCCAGAGGCGCCCCGCGCAGGTCCCTGCTGCAGGTGCAGGCCGCTGGGACATTGGAGCCAATGGAGATGAAAACAGATAAATTCGAAGAGGCTTCAGTCTCTATACGAACTGCTTCCCAGAAGGTGACACTATTACAGCAGCTTCTTCTGGGACAGAATCCTTCCTCAGCCCTTCTCCTCTGCTTAAAAGTAGATGGGCACTGACTGGTCCTGGGGAGATGGCCCAGGGGATAAAGATGTCAGCTGCCATGTCTGACCATGCCTGTACACCTGAGTTGGCTCACCGGAATCCAGATGGTGGATGGAGAGAACTGACTCCTGAAAGTTTTGCTGTGTCTTCCACATGCGCTCTGTGGCATTTGTGTGCTCATATACAAAACAAATAAACAAATAAAAATGTTAAAAAAAAAAAAAAAGTAGAAGGATGGAGAGATGACTCATCGGTTAAGAGCACTGGCTGCTCTTCCAGAGGTCCCAGGTTCAATTCCCAGCACCCACATGTCAGCTCACAACTGTCTGTAACTCCAGTTCCAGAGGATCTGACACCTTCACACAGACATACATGCAGGCAAAACACCAATGCACACACACACACACACACACACACATACACACACACACAAAAATTAAAAGTAGCTAATGATTAATGAGCAATGAGTTCAGAGCCATCTTATCTTCCTGTTTTCCTTAAAGATTAATTTGTGTGTGTGTGTGTGTGTGTGTGTGTGTGTGTGTGTGTGTGCGCTTGAGTGTATT